CTTTCCCTCTCCCCTACAAGAGGAAAGTTTGACCTAGAACTGAAAAGTCAAAAAGCTCTTCATTATATTATCACTGGAGTGGAAGGAAAAGAAACAGAATTACCCCATTCCATGAAAACAGAGGAGGGAATTAAGAGATCACAAGAGCATTAAGAAGCTTTCTCCTTTAATAATTCCAGCTGGAAAATCTCTAGACATCAGAACACATTTCAGAGCTGTAGCTGTTAACACATTCATGAAAAGCAAATCTGGAAAATGGACATTGCAGTTGCACAAACCAGCTGTGCATGTACACTGACTCTTTATGTGCAGGAGGTTTCATGTGCTCATACACCATGTATCTACAGAGTGTTTGACTGTCTTGCACTGCCCACTTTGTATCTGTAAGTGTTGTCAGGTTTGGGACATTATTTTCAACAATTTAGCCTGTTTTTCTACAACTATTACAGTTCTAAAACATTTTGCTAATGATAGGAGAGAGCAGAAAACTTGCCAAAGTAATTTGCAAAGCAGAATGTATTTTCAAGTACAATTTGCAACGTTTGCAATGTTCTCTGGTATAGAAACATCTACTACTAGTAGCAAAAATATTCAAACATTTACATGTTCAAATTTGCTATTATGTCTTAATTTCTTCTGTTTAAACCACACTCAGTTCAGTATCCATTCGGCTGACTTAGTAGTAGTTGTTGAATATTCTCTAGAGAGTGTGTCAAAACTAGTAGAAAATCTAACATTGAATGTTTAACATCCAAATACTTTGCAGGATGAAAATAAAAGTATTTAATTCACTCAGATTACACATCTTAAATAATATTCTTTGCCCTCTGAAATCTTAAATGTTAAATTGCTATTATTTCACCTTTTTGGAGTTACCGTAAGATGAAGTCACATGGAGTATGTTTTACTCCAGTGTTTCACTGTTTAGGGAAAAGTGAATCAGAAAGATCAATCTATTGTAGAAAGAGATCATATAGCAGTAAAAAAGCATAAATTTTGTTTTGAAAAACATCATGTGAATGATCTAAATCTTTGCAAGCTCTCTCTATCTTAACTGAGAAATGTGATTCTCACTTTTTGACTTTCCATTTGCAGATAGGGTCAATCACAGGGTCAATCACAGGCTCCATCCTCCATCGATGATTAGTTCATTACCAGTCACATAGGCAGACTGAAATTACATTAATAACAACAATAATTTCAACTAATTTTTCATGGCATTTAAGTACAAGGAAGCACTTCTTTAAATTAAAAAAATGCTTTCTTTTTATACAAACACTTGTTTTTTTCTACCTCCTTAAGACATGATCTAGCCACAGTGCAAACTTGGAAAAGCAGACAAGTCTACTTCTCCTATCATTCAGGTTGATCTGAAGTCAGTCAATTTGCTTGGATGACATGAAACCACAAGGCTATGGCACCAAATATATAATGCCTTAACAATCACTGCCAGCATTTATAGTACTTTTTGTATCATAGGTTAAACTCAGTAAAAGTTCATCAGTTTTTCATTTTTGTAATAATCAAGCGCAAAGACAAGATAAATCCTCCTAAAAAAATTCCCTCTATTGTGATGCAGCAAAGTAGTATGGGATTCTGTGACTGGAAATTTTATCATTCCACACTTACTTCATCAGAGGCCAAGTACACAAAGAGATGGGCCACTTCTTCAGCAGTGGCCATCCTACCAGTCTTCTGTCTGGCTAGAAAGTCTTTCAAGGCCTAGATATACAAGAACATTTGGTATATTTAAAAAACCAAACAATTTTTTAATCTGACTCGTCTCGCATGTACAAAGCAATACTGGAAAAGGGACATAACTTCCTTTAGTACACTGGGTAGGGAATTTATGCTAGAAAAAGAAATTGGAAGATTAACAGTGATTCAAATTTCAGATTGAAAAATACTTGGAGACTGGATCTAAATCTCTGGTTCCAGAATAAACCCAACATAAGTCCTTCCTTTGGTGGTAGAAATTCCCAGGCCCTTCAAATGAGGGGTCACAGTTATCTAATCAGTATGGTTAAGGATGCAGAAAATTTTGAAATGCAAAGGCCGGAATGCCCTTTCTGTCATGGCTTTGCACTAGTTCATGACTTGTCACATGCTAAAGTAGAGAATGTCTTCTACTTTTGCTCTAGATACTGTAACCAACGGTTGCAAATACTTCCACAGATAACAGACTCTTTGTATTCACTAAGGAATAGCATCCTTCTGAGGCATTTTAAGACTTCTCTTTTGAGTACAAACTGACCAAACTATCAAAGGAGACACTACTGTTATTTTATCATTGGTACTCTGAAACAGGGGACATTCTTGAATCTGGGCAGAAATGCTGCCTTTTTTTTTTTTTAAGGGTTGAATATATGTACACACTTGATCAAACTAATAATTTGCTTTCTCACCTGTTCTGGGTTAGGCTGGGCTTGGATTCTTTCCTGTAAAGATGGCGTGTCAACAGTACCTGAGGAAAGTTTTAAATTCAGTGTTAAAAATCAATTGCATCAACAATCATGACAAAAACAAATGCAGTTTAACAGTTCTATTTGTATGTCTTAACACTTATGTGTAACTTCATAATATGATTCAGAAGAGAGCCTGCAAAAGAAGAAAGAATGCAAAACTATAAGCATCTCATAGGACTCTAAATTTCAATAAAGGGAACATTTGAGAATTAGATTCAATACTTTTCAGATAGTCAAACAATGGCTGGCCTGTTAGCTGACCTGCTTTTAACTTCCAGACTATGTCTTTGAAAATACACATTGAAATACTGTGCAATGCATATATAACGTGCATGTGTGTGCTTAACAGACTAAACAAAGCTTTAATATGAGTAAGCAACTGTTCTATTTTAAATCTCAGAAGTGATTCAAGCATGTCCTGTTCTTTTTGATTGCTGGTAACTTTAGTTGCCACTTGCAAGTCTTCTTTGTTAATAATATCAGACTAAATCAGGCCATCTAGCATCTGCTCCCAGAGTACAAAACAATGTAAGAATACTCACCAGGACATATGCAGTTGCATCTGATGCCTTGTTCAATGAAATCAGCAGCCACAGACTTTGTTAGCCCAATAACTGCAGCCTTTGAAGTACTGTATACACATCTGTTCACGACTCCTAACAGAAGGTCAGTGTGAAAGCAGCATAGAAATAGAAATTTAAAAAGAAAGAAAAGAGTTTGTTAAATATGATGCACCTGCTTCTGGACTCCAGCATTTCCTGTAGCACTTGTAATCTCTCCATAAGGGTGGGCTAGCTACAATGCTGACTGCCAGAATTCTACTCAGGCATACACCAGAGCAAAGCACAGTCTTTCAATGGCATCAGCTGGGGAGTAGTCTAGAAAAGTTAACAGAGCAAAGATTTAGGAATAACAGGGATCCATCTATTAGTCACCACCAGGTTTCCTTGGGAAGCATAGCTACAGTGCTTATGCAACTGTCACTTCGTCATTGTTACGCTGAAAAGCATACATAGCAAGACATCACTGCAAGCAATTCCTTTTTAGTTAGCACAAACTGGTAAAAAGAATGCTACAAAACATTCAGGATAGTTTCAAAAGCTCAAAGGCAAGAATCTTAGTGTTTCAGCAATTTTACATGTGTGTCCTTGCCTGTGTGTACAAGTTGATGTGTCCACTTTTTTTTTTAACAGCATCCCTCCACAAGATTGGCAAGTTGTGCAATATTTATTTTGCATTCCCATCATTTTATACATTTACCTAAGGAACTCTCTAGCAAGATACTGACCTTTAATGCTGGATGCTACAGAAGACATATTTATAATGTTTCCAGATTTCTGTTTAAGCATCTACAAAAGAATACTTACGTCATTCAAATGCAAACTATTTTGTCATCTGCAAATTCAGCAGAACAGCCTATAAAATCCACAGAACAGTCTCGCATGCAATTGGTACATAGGGTAACAAACCTTAATTGGCATGAATAAATGCTTCTCTTTTTGATCTATTGACTGAAGTAGTAAAGCAGAATTCAAAATTCTCACTAGGGTCTCTTAAGTCATCTTGGGGGTGAAGACTATGAGAGGAAAGGCTTTTTTTTCCTAGGTAGCTACCTCTGAATCATTGCTCTCTCGTCACCACAGTAAGTTACTCTACATCGACATCTGCTTATGCCATCTTACAGTGCAGTAATTCACTGATCCCACTTAAACGCTTCTTGCTTTGGTGAAGGCTAAAACACAACTCTCTAGCATCTTTGAAGTGTAGCTAAGTTTCTTTAAGTTATAACCTTTATCTGCATCCTAAGACCTGAGATGCCTAAAGTTGTCATAAAGAACCTTTGAAAATTAAGATAAATTAAGAAAAACAACCCAAACAAACCAGAAGTCCCACCAAAACCCAAACAAACCCACCCCCTCACCAAATCAAAACCAATGAAATAAAAAGGACTGGAACAACACTGAAAAAAGTAGTCATCATCCAGTCATGGTCACAGCTTCCACTTCTGGCCTTTGCATTTACAGGAGTACAAACACCTTTTTCAATCCACTGATTTTTATAGTCCTGATCCTAGTTATTATGTCACACAACACACGACCACTAGACTGTCTAATTGGATTGTTGTTCCAATATAACCAGCATGTTGGCATCAGTAGCACTGACGTACTTAATGAGATAGTTTCCAGATTTGCATAAAATTCATATCAATATACATATTTTATAAATATTTTGTAGCATGATATTGTGCAGCTGCGTGCTATAGTATAATATGGTAGTACTGTATGATAGAATCATTAATCATAGAATCATTAAGGTTGGAAGAGACCTCTAAGATCATCAAGTCCCACCATCAACCATATTACAATGGCTTCCTCTCTGCTTTGCATTTGAAGGATTTTAGTTACAAATTGCATAGAGCAAAACCCCTGAATCTTTACCATATCCTTAAATAGATTTTCCACTTGATGGTTTAGACAACACAGAGAATGTTTTAGAGTAGGATCACTATAATCTAAGGGCCTCCCTTACACAAAAGGGCATACTTATCTTTTTGTCCCAAAACTCATTCTGTCATAGTGGCAACAACTTAGACCTCTCACACTTTAAATGCAATGCAGCAGAGACTAAAAATTGTGGGCAACCAAGCCTTACCTTAGGAAGGAATGTCTGGATCATCAGATACATGCTGCGAACATTGAGGTTCATAGTGAAGTCCCAGTCTCGCTCTTCGCACTCCAGAATGGTTCCATGATGAACAAACCTAGAATAAGTAAATGAAGTGAATTACTGTCTGTGACTTACATTTTTATGACTTTTTATGCATGTTTTTCCATTACTGTGATGTAATAGCTAACCTTTCCAACCTACACACAGAAAGTGTTGATGAAAACACATTAAAAATTATCTTAGAGCTATAAAATGCATTGAAACAGAAGAAAGAAAATATATTTAAGTAAAAGAAACTACTTCTGGAGAACAGAGAAAACTGAAAAAGTAGTAAGATCAAATAGAAGTTGGTTACCCTGCAATGTTACAGAGGACATCAATCCTTTCAATCTCTTTGGCCAGATTTTCTATCTGCTCCTTTTTGGTGACATCCAGAACCCGTATTTGAATGCCTAGAAAAACATAGTATTTATTTCAGTGCATTTGGCTAAGGATCAACACTTTACTGTGTGTGCCGAGGACTGCCTCTACAATTCAAGTCAGTGGCTTGCCAGGAACATCCCCTTCTCAGTGGTTCACCATAACATGGTGTCTCAGAGCGAGAGCTACACTTAATGATCAAATTAATGTCATAGTTAAATCAGGACAGCAATGGACAGCATGGCATGGTAATTAAAATTTCACAAGAGAATTAAAAAAAGATCAACTGATTTGCATCACTCAGAGGAGCTAATGTAATTTACCATAAAAAACCCAATTCCAATAAATTTGAATTCCGCTGTGCTCTAAAACTGAAGAGCTACAGAGCCTGAATAATCATAACAAGCTTTCAAGCCCACTATTATAGAATAATTACTTAAAACTAGTTACATGTGTCACATACTCATAATCACATTACATGACATCTATCCATGCATAGTTGAGAATATGATGAATCAGCTTTATACCATTTAATTAATGAGAAAAAGTGATTTTGCGTAAGTCGATGACTTACATAATCTGGAATGAAGTTATAGCCATAATAACAGAAATGAAAAGGAAGTGTAACAAATTGATGACTTCTATCATGAAGGCTAGTTTAAAAATATGATGCTTATATCTTTGCAATTATTTGTTTATAATCAAACAAGAGAGGGCTGAAAAAATGTCACTGTTCACTATAAGCTTCTATGTATTTCAGCCTCTAGCTAAAAGCACATATCACGGTCAGCACATATAGCGCTGGCTGTGCCTGTGCCACACCTTTAAGAAAGCCACTGATAAGAAAAAAAACCCAAACCAAACCAAAACAAAAGAAAAACAAATCCAAACCAAATCAAAACAAAAGAAAAACAAACCAACAAAGCCTCTTCTATTTTGTTCAGAGAAGTTATGTCTGAAAGATTGAGAAACATAATTACTACAAAACAAGGTCAGCCTCAGCTCTTCCAAACCCTTTTCAATAGTATCAGCTCCTCTAATAGCACTGCTTTAGGGCCAATCACAGCTGTGCCATCCTGTAGCCGAAAGTGAAAAGATCAAGTAAAATAACTACTGAGATAGGTCTCTATAGATATATGGACATATATATCTATATAGAGAGAGGGGTATATATGAATTACTTTATCTCATTTTACTTAAATAGCTTGCAGTAATCTAACACAACTAGCTTCTCTCACCCATATCAACGCTGAATCCTTACTATGGAATAAGCATACTTCATGATACACTTTGTCTGCACCCTCATTCTATATGCTGTGTAAAGAATGAGCTGTGGCCTCTTCTCAAATACATGAGCTTTTCATCCAAAGAAAACCTGGATGAGTGGAAAAGGAGGACTTGGGGTATAGTCCAGTAATTCCCATAGTGGGTACAATTAGGCTCCCATGGCACTAAGACTTGCTGCTGATCACCCTTTTGCCACAGCCTGGTCACAGCGTGTCCTGCACCTAGGATGAAGGGACTTCTAGTGCAGAACACACCTGTGCCACAAAACATAGGGTTTTAAAAAAAAAAAATTTAGTCATGTGCAACTAGTGACACAGTCTAATAAATGTCTACAACTACCTATTGAGAGACTGTAGAGGAGATGGAGCTAATCTTCTCAGAGGCCCACAATGGAAGGATGAAAGGCAACAGAAAGAAGCTGGAACATGGGAAAGTCTGATTGAATATAAGGTGTCTTTGTTTTGGTGGGTTTTGGTAGGGCTTTTTTTGTTGGTTTGATTTTTTTTTTTTGGGGGGGGAGCGGGAATTCATGGTTTTAAAATAATAACTAAACTTTAAAAACAAACTGAGAGCGTTCACACTGAAACAGGAGCTGACAGGGGTTGTTGAGGAAATTCCAGCCTTGGAGATGTTTGGAACTTTACTCAACACAGCCCTGAGCAAGCTGCTCTAACCAAAGACACTTCGAGCACTAGGCAGAACTAAATGGTCTCCAGAGGTCTCATCCAGCATACACAGTTCTATGAAATACTGTAAAGCTGCCTGTAAAACAGCTGAGTGATGTCTAAATTATGGGAGAATTTGATTTGAAGTGGGTAAAAACCCGTTTCTTTTGAAGCCAAACTGATAAGGCCATGAACAGGCTTTATATACCTTAGTTAAATGATATAGACACTTTTGAAGATATTTGTGTATAACAATGCAATGAGACTATATGCTGGTGATTAACGTCAGCACTGGGATTACCTCTCCTGGATAAAATTCAAAGACCACAACCTGCTAAACCTTGATGAATTATAGCTTAACTAATTATATGTCAAAAGGATGGAAATGGCTCTAGGTATATGGAAAATTACCTCTTTCCTTGCAAGTACACTAGCAGGGGAGGGAAAAATACACAGTTCAAAACGTAACACTTTCCTAAGCACCCTCAGAGTGAGCCTGGAAAGCCCTAAAGTTCCTAAAGAATTAGAAAGGGATTCCTTGTAGTGAACTCCAGTCAGTAGAGACCAATGATTGCTCTAAAAGCTGTGCCAGAGAAAAGTGTTTTCACATATTTGACTGTCACCTTGTAATAGGAGTTCATTAAATCCACTTTCTTCCATCAAAGTAAGTTAGAAGCATTTTCAGTTGTAAAATATGTCCAAGTGTTATTTTTCACTTCAAGATTGAAGAAATAAATTAATATAAAGTCCTACAATTGTGTCACTTATAGTTAAGAAACACAGCTATGCAAAACTGCTCCTTGAAGTATGTTCCT